AAATGTTTACTAATCGAGTTTGATTTTATTTTTAAACGTATTCCTGTGCTTTTTTATCGTTATCGAGTGTGTTTATATCGAGTGACTGCCCAAAAGATCTTTCTTCCACTTACAATAAGGAATAAATAAACTAGCGGAGATACATTTTAAAACCAAATGCCTGGTCCGACTTAATTGATATTTTTTTCAGACGACTTAAGTTCGTATGAAAGAAAAAATGTCTTTAGCCAGCAAAATGACGATCGTTGCGGGAAGCAATCAAAGGCACTAGCTTTTCAAAGCGAGGACTTAATTAACTTATTTATTTTCCACAACTTGAACTTTGACTTGAAAAGAACTTGTATTTTTGGATCGTGCACCGGTTTCGCAAAAATCACCGAGCTCTCTGTGCAAATGTCAATTCTAAAATGAGCAAAAATATTTATAATTCGTTAAATGCTTATAAAACTCGTCATAAATCTGTGAAAGCATTCAATAAGAAAACATGACAACTTTTTATTTGATAGACTATCTAATCTTCTTTGATTTGGATTTCTGATTTCAACTTTCGTCTGAAGTAAATCTATTTTAACAGGAAGTATCTTAAGTCGTGATGAGCAAATAAGAATGCAAACAAAATTCTAGTCAGTAGACCTAGTCGTCGTTTACTGGTCGAAAGATTGGCTCGCATATTCACGTTGATTTTCGTCTAATCTGTAAACTATTTTTCAACGGTTTTCGAAACAATTCACTAACTTTATTTCTATCAAATAACTGATCCTTCTTTGAGATATGAAAATCTACTTCTTCAGCGTAAAATTTGGTAAAATTCAACTGGTTTATTCAGCGATAACTTTCAATTTGTTTAGTTTCTCGATAGAGCTTGTGACCAGGCATTAGAGTTTTAAAATATATATCACTTCCAAACGGAAAACGAACCCAGCTGATGACACAAAGTAATGGATAAAATATAAGATGGCACTGCAATAAATTCTTGCTTTGTGAATGAAAAACAAATACTTTCGTTTTTAAATAAAGTTCCTAAATCCTAAGTTTATTACAGTTCATGCCAAAAATGAATTTTTCATGAATTGAATCAATATTTTTTTGGCCAATGTTTTCTCTTGGTATCATTCAGTTGTCAATGATTAAGTACGATCGTTTGGGTGCGAGTTGTTCAGAAAAGGTTTGTTGTTGAAGTTAGACACTGGCCTGAGCACAAGTCATCAGAATCGAATGAACAATTGTATGTCAGTCGAGCGTTACAACTTTGGTTTGTTACAGTGATAGATCAGTTTTGCAGTAAAGTGGCTCAGTGTCAGATTCAAAAGGCGTGCGTCCGTTGATCAGTCGATAAGTTTACTTTGTTCTGTTTGATCTGTTGGTGACAGCGTGGTTTTTTTTTTAATGAAGTCGTTCTTAAGGTGCCGATACTTATTTTAATTTGTTGTGAGGAGTCGTAAGTAAAGTAGGGGTTCATTGACGTGATTTTGGATGTAAAGAAGATGCCCAAAATTAAACAAACTCGTTGAAAGATCAAAGTAAAATTTCCGCACAGCTTCATACTACTGTAAAACAAATCTGTTTTCCCAATGGCAATGTATTGTTTTTGTTGTTGTTTTCTCTATCCAAGAACTGAATGCATAATGTAATAGGATGTGACTGTGCGGAAATTCTACTGATCTCAAATTTTGAATGCCATTTCATCTCTGTGCGGCAGAAGTATTTTGTCAGAGTGCCACCTTAATATTACCTTTGTGCGACGTCAACTAAGTTATCGCTGTGATACCAGCTGTTAGACAAACCATATAACACGAGCGATCAGAGCCTTGAAATTAATAATTTAAGTGTCAGCATTTTTTAGCCAAGATTGTTTTAGTTTTCAGTTGTTTCTGTCTCAAATTCTATGCAACACAAATATTTGAGATGAAATACACCAAATTACAGCTGGTAATTCAAACAAATCAAATGATCGCTCAGGATCTGCCTTACAATTGTAAAACAACAAACTACTTCAAAAATGGTGGCTAATCAAGAATTATTCACTTGCCATGAAAACAGTTTAATCCATCCCATGACCACTGGTGAAAGAACGAGACTTCGTACAACAATTAAGCATGTAAGGTGCCACCATTTTGCTAGTATCACTAAATGATTTTAAAGTCTCGGCTTATCTTTGCAGTATCCACTAAAAATTGTCTTCTCTTGACCAATATCTCTGTTCTTTCATCCGTCTGACAACATTCGTCTTCCTGAAAGTAGAAAATGTGCAGGTGAGCAGGGAATACTTACTTTTCATGAGGACAAAAACTAAAGCAAAATTTTGTGTAATTGTTTTGCGCTTTGACTCAATAATAGCGAAAAGGAAAGTATTAAAATTTCAAAATGTTATTTACAGTGAAGCCACAGAGGAAAAGAGTCATAACAACTCCACGTGGCTGCATTAAAATACAAAACGAAGTCCCCAATACATTTAAGAAGCAAACGATTTCAGTGAGAGTTTCGCTAAAACTGTTTTAAAGTCATTGGCTCTGTTTTTCTCGGAGTCAGCTCCCGAATTTAGTCGAATTTGGAATTGAAGAGCCGCTCAGACCGAGCAACCAATTCGTGTTACGTCGTTGGACTGAGATAATACGACTCGTTTAGACCTTATCAAGGAGCTTAAGGTGACTATTTTCCAAGAGCAATGCTCACCTACTGTTGTTGTGACATAAAAGTGCTTTCGTTGCTTTTGTACAGGTCCATTGTCTTTTTCCTTCTAGAGCACGTTGTAGTATAGTAGAACGGACGACATTGTCTTCATTCTACGACAAACAGCTTGGTTTGATGAAAATTCTAACATTATGAATATGGATTAACAGCTGCAGCCAATAATCGGATGCCGCACACGTAGGCTACGTCGCACATTTGGTGCGGAATTCCGTCTGCACGCTCAACCAGCTAATGAAGCTAAAATGAAAGGCTTTGTGAGTGACGGATTGGCATGTGACAAGAGGGAAAAATTGACAGCTACTCTATTTTAGGAACTACTATGTGACAAGGAAATTACTCTGATAATTTCAGAGCCAATTTGGAAGACTGATTTCATTGAAAGCAGTAGATCCCTGAAATGAATAAAGAAATATAGAAGGCCTCAATTAGAAATTGCACGAAGAAATAAATAGTTGTTCGTTTTCCTCTCACAGAGGGATTGTAAAAAAAGGAGAACGGAAAAGTTATGATAACGCATTGTAATTAAACGGTGAAGGAGAAAAAAATGGAGAAATTAACGCATTGTTACTCTCTCATGAAGGATAAAAAAAATTAAAAGTAGGCAAGATGAATTCAAAGCGCTGTCTTTCTATCACACAAGGAGATAGCGACGTGGACCGACTCTGTTATACTTCTTATCGACAAAGTGGCCAGGCGCACGGCGCATCGAGCTACAGTAGTCCTAACGGTTAGAATGACAAGAGGAAACACAAAAGAAAATGAATTTGAAGGGTTGTGGATGAGGATGTTCATTCATCTTGTCTCGAACGTGAGACGAAGAAAAAAAACATTTTGAGTCCCCATAAAGGCCTATTTACACGGTACGACTTTGTCGCATGTGATAAGCTTACGACAGGCCTACGACATGACTTAGGACAATTTACACGCGCACGACATTTTCACCTACGACATGCCAAAATCGCGTGCAATTCCACTCGTTTCGGCCGCGGTCATTGTTTCAATAATTTGCAAGAGAAGGAAAAGAACCTCTTCCTAGCTCCACAGTGATATCATATTCTCTGTTTCCTCATCTGAGAATGTATTTTTCGCTTTGGAAGCAGTCTTCGACTTTCCGGAGGCGACTTCCTCCGCCATTTTGACGCAAGAAAATTTCACCTTCCTCCCCTACTCAGTAGAAATTTGTCACAAAATACGTCATTTTCTATCAATTTCGGCTACGATTGTCGCAGCGTTTTAAAGCATGTTTTAAAATCCTACGACATTTTTCGTGACGTGCACGACAGTCGTAAGCGAGTGGTAGGTTTGATTTACAAGATACAATTCGTGTCGTAGGCCTGTCGTAAGCTTGACGCATGCGACAAAGTCGTACCGTGTAAATAGGCCTTAAGACTTCCTGATTTAACGCCCTGATCACTGAGACACAGAGACTCCCTGATGAGCCATGCAAATGCCATCAGGTCCATGCATATGCGACACGCATCCTGCCTATAGCTACGATACTGCCACATCGAAAGTTTGCAAGACAGAGACAAGAAGAACAAATGAAAATCTACCTTTAATTTTCATTTGCATGGAACGAATTTTTCCTGAATTCACACAACAACCTGGAAAAATCGAACTTTCGGGGCATATTTATAAATAAGTAAAGCTAACCTAAAACCATTAATTGAGATGCAAAGTTTACCAACTTTTAACAATTACGAAAAAAATGTTCGACATAAGTCGATAAGCTAAACGGAAAACCAGAACTTCGGGGCATATTTATAAAATGAATTATTTACCCATGTCTCCAAAGCTAACCTAAAACTATTAATTGAGACGTGAAGTTTACCAACTTTTAATAATTACGAAAAACATGTTTGACATAAGTCGATAAGCTAATTGAAAACCCGAACTTTCAGGGCATATTTATAAAATGAGTTATTTACCCATGTCCCCAAAGCTAACCGAAAACAATTAACTTGGGTCGTAAAATTTACCAACTTTTAACAATTACGAAAAACGTGATTGAAAAAAAAAATTGAAAGGCACTTCTAATCTCTGGAAGGGAAAATTTGAAAACTTGGGACAATTTTTGGATTGAAAAGAAAATTGCAGATGTCCCCAACACGTCCTAATAAAAAATGACAGAGCGAAAGAGTCCTGCTAAGTGACATTGTAGAAGATTTTTTTGACAACCCGTAAGGCGAAGGTCACCAGTAGGAATATAAATGAAGGGGCATTTAGCAGGTGAATATAACTTGCGCGTTCAAAGGCCTTTCATTTCTCGACAACGAGCAGGACAAGATTTTTAACCATCTAGTTGAAACATGACAACATGGTTTTGGATCCTTGGCTGGTTTCTTACAATCCTTACCATTACAGGGAACGGCCTCATTATCTTCCTGATTTGTAAGCGAAAGCAGCTTCGCACCAAAACCAACGCGTTTGTGGCGTCATTAGCTGTGGCTGATTTCTGTGTTGGGATGACTGTTGTTCCTGTGTTATTCATCTTTAAGGAAACAGTTTCCGAAACTGAACTATCAAACAAGGTCCAGCTCTATGTGAGGTTGTTTTTTGTGAGGGCGTCAGTCACGAATTTATGCAGTCTGGTGTTAGATCGCTTCGTGGCCGTCGTGAAACCATTTAAATACTTGACATTTATGACGCGTAGCCGAGTAATTCAAATAGTTTTCTTGTCATGGGCCTTTCCAACAATTTTTATCACAGTGAGAGCATCTCTCCTCTTTGCCTTCCAAGTGCGACACCTCGATAACATCTTCAATTGGTTAGACACATTCAATTTTAAACTCGTCCCCTGTGTCATTTTAGTCTTCTGCTTTGCATGTATGCTAACTATTATTTGTAAGCACCATCGAAAAATGCGTACTCTTGTAAAACAAATACGTTCCAACACAACCGTTTTCTTTCGACCTCAAGAAAGCGCCGCCGTTAAAATAATGGCCATCGTTATTGTGGTGTTTCTGTTGTGCAGCGCAATCAGGTTCCATTGCGGGCTCAGTTATCTTAGCCGCGGTAATATCGATTGTGATATTCTTCACGTAAAAATACTTATTACAGTTTTAAACTCAGCTGTAAACCCTATAGCTTATGCGGTATATAAGAGAGACATTAAAAAAGAGCTTAAAAGAATAATAAGAATGAACTTTTCGGAATAAAACACAATTATGGAGAATAATTTTCAAAATTCGTAAGAAGAGTAGAAATAGAGAGGAAGTACTTTTCCAAGTTTTTACCTCAGCTGTTTTAACAGCTAAAAGGTTAAAACCTTTTATCTTATGCGATATGATAGAATTCAAGAAAGAGCTTAAAAGAATGAACTTTTAAAAATGACTCTACAATCATATAGAATAAATTGAACATTGGTTAATAGAGTACAAATGGAGAGAAAATACTTCTTTAAGTTTTTAATTCAGCTGTGAAGCCTAAAGTTAATGCGTCATTTAAGAGAGACAAAGATGGAGCAAATCGATTGATCATTTCAACCTTTCCACTCCTAAGATCTCATAAGTAATTCTCCCTGCCGTCTGTCATACAATTTTTAGAATATTACTTCAGAGAGTGTAATGTTGGATCAACTAATAAATCCTTAATTGATATCACATGACATTGTTTACGATTTTTTTGACAACTCTTCAGGCGAAGGACACGAACACGAATATATGAACAGGGATATATATATGATATATATTTTGTTGTTCTCATCACTTGACTGTTTGATATCGTAAAGAGGAAATTCTGTCTCGGTCACTCATTGGAGTAAACAATTGAGGACAATTTTATGAACAGTCATAAGAGTCGGTCTACTTAACGTACACAAATGATTTCACTTCTAAGAGTGAAGCAAATTTTCATTTTCAAGGAGATTCAGCGACCGCAAAGTAAAACTAATGATAGGAAAAAGCAAACAGATTGTTAAAATAATTCCAAGCGAATCATGTTTATTAAAATCTTAAAGGAGCGACAGCTTCACACATTTCAGTGAGCAGTTCGTTAGGCAGCTACAGAAAATTTTACAAGGTGTTGGGAATATGTTCCCTTCCAAGCTTATACTAAGCCAAGACTACATAAATGGGATAATTGAGTCTTTCAGCTGCAATTAATATTGGTTTTCGCATCTGTTTGTCTTCTGATCTTAGAGCCTTTTTGCGACAGTTAACAATACAAACTTACGATGTTTCGCTTAAGACAGCTGAATTATAGAGGAGTTTTGCTGCAGAAGTGCTTTAATAGATTTCATGCGCATTTCGTAATGTTGTTGCTTAAAAAGCTTTCGTGCACGGCAGAAAAGTCTATCGGAATAGTTATGGTCCTCATCTCTTTTTAACCATCATCGTCTCTCAGCGACATTTCTCTGAGGAATTTCATTAAAAAATATGAGCTCACGCTCTCGTGCGTTTGGCCAAACTCGGGTTTGAGTTTGGCAAAGTCACCGTCAAGACATTGCCGGGTTCCAACAACTTTGGCTCGACGTTGCCTCCTAACCGACACAAAAAAAGTTATGTAAATCATTCCCACACGAGACAAACTGATGAATAGATATTCCAGAGAATCATCACAAAGGATACCTTAACAAGTTCACTCTTTTTCATTTGGTGTGAATCTTAATCTTGAGATTCCATTTCACCCGGTGGAGGACTCTGTCTCGTTTCCATAGACAAAAGGTCCAGTTTCAAGTACTGAGCATGCGCACGGGCTTTGGCGACGGAAATTCGTGCCTTACAAAGAAATAATTAAGATATTCCAACAAAACTTTCATGTAGGAGTCGGTTGTTAGACAGGTGTTTAGACCTTAAACAGGGTTAGAATTAAATCGTTTTAACCTTTTTCGCATACAAATGTGAAGTATATTTCTGCCAACTACGTCTTATGGGGTTTAGTCCAAGGTAGGCCAAGCTGAGGGCGACAAAATATAAACAACAAAGACTTTTCACAAGCTATCAATTCAAAAAAAAAAAATTACTCTAACACCAGCTTAGCTTAATCTTGTTTTGAATTTGGCATTTGCACATTTGTACAATATGTAAATTAAGGGTGACTTAGGGCCTGTTATTTACTGAAACAAAGTTTGACCGTTGTTCGACAAAACTGCGTTCTAAACTTTAAATCTTCAATTAAGCCGCACCTTTCACCAGAACAGTTATTTCTGCGAACAGTGTTAAGAGGGCCGAAAGCTTGTAGTAGAAGGACGTTTATTCAATTTACCTAAGCAACCCTCTCACAGAGAATACCCAAGGCCCACTGATTGCGTATAACCGCCGTATGGGTTAGACCTACTTTAAATAACCGGCCCAAAGAGTTTAACCCATTGTTAGCGGCTAAACAGGGGCCAATGACCAAATAGGCTTGGCCGGACCTACCTAGAATTTTTTAGATATATTTTGGGGACCACGGTTTTAGCTAAGAATTTTCAAATTTGAAAAAATTGAAGAGGTTTTTACAGATGATGCCTGGAAAGCAGTTGGCAAATTAGGTAAGGATGGCTCATGTACTTTACAGAAAACGCGGTTTATGTGATACCCATTCTTTCTTAAATTTAAGTGGTATAAATACCTTGTCTAAAACAATAGTGTGATACAATAGCAAACGCGATATACAGGTTCCAAAATAGCGTCATGTGAACGGCCTTCATTAATTTTAGACCAATTTTTATAAATTAATTTTACTCTTTCTTGTAATAGCCGAAAAACGGTTCGAAGATTGGTTGTGCCATCACTGCAAACAGTCTAGGTACTTCGACATGATTCAACGCGAGAGTTACTTCCACTGGTTTGACTGGTAAGACGTTTTTTGATTGTTTGTTTGTTTTGTTTTTCCCTTTCTTAGGTCTAGCGGAGTTGCTAGAAATTACGAAGCAAAATTAAAGTAATCCGCGACTTTCTTCCTTGAGGTGTTGTGCAAAAATAGATGAGCAGCCCGATGAATGGATTTGTCCTTCATGTGAACAATTATCCCAGAAAATCAGTTTTCCACGAAAAAAAAAAAACTCTCAGCTACACGCATGCTACTCCAGTCTCTGATCGACCTTGCTGAACTAGAAAGACTCTACCTTCTTTTTGTTATGTATGTTTGACACATTGGTGTTTTCACACTGATATTTCATTGTTCCGCCTCGAGACACACGGTTGAACAATACTCACGAGCAAGGAGTTGAGATATAACTTATTAACTTTTACTACTTTTATCATCCAATTACAGGTCGGAGCCATTCCTGTATTTAGTCGCTAGTCGAGAATTATTCACTCACATGTAATCAGTTGTACCCGTCCCAAGACAGTTATTGAATGAACGAAGACCTCGTGCAAAAATTAAATACACAAGGGCCACCATTTTTGCTAGTATTACTAAATAATTTCAAAGTCTTATCTTTGCAATATCCACTAAAAATTCAGTGATTCCAGTGTCTTATCTTGACCAATATCTTTGTTCTTCCATTCGTCTGACAACATTCGTCTTCTTCAAAGTAGAAAATATGTTGGTGATTAGGGAATGCTTACTTTAATAAGAAAAATAGCGAAAGCAAAATTTTGTGTAATTGCTTTGCTCTTTGACTCAATAACAGAAGACGGGAAAGTACCAAAATTTCAAAATGTTAATTAAAGTGAAGCCACCGAGGGAAAGAGTCATAACAACTCCACGTGGCTGTATTCAAATACAAAATGAAGTCCCCAATACATTTAACAAGCAAAACAATTTTCTTCGAGAGTTTCGCCAAAACTATTTTACAGTCATTGGCTCAGCTTTTCTTAAAGTCAACTCCCTAATTCAGTCGAATTTCGAATTGAAGAGCCGCTCAGACCAAGCAAACAATTCATGCTACGTCATTGAACCGAGATGATACGACTCGTTTAGATCTTATCAAGGAGCCAAGGTGACTATTTTCCAAGGGCAATGTTCACCTGTTGCTTTTGTGACATGAAAGTGCTTTCGTTGCTTTTTTACAGGTCCAGCGTCTTTTTCCTTCCAGAGCACAATGTTATGTTAAGCACAGCAGACAATACGTCTTCACTCTGCGATGGACAGCTGGTTTGCTGAAAATATAACAGCTTCTGATGAATATGGATTAACAACTGCGGCTGCTACGTCGCACATTTGGTTCGGAATTCTGTTTGCACGCTCAATCAGCTAATCAAGAATCAAGCTAAATGAAGGCATTGTGAGTGACGGATTGGCATGTGACAAGAGGAAAAAATTCACAGTTACTCTATGACAAGGAAATTACTCTGATAATTTTAGAGAACTAATTTTAGAGCTAGTTTGGGAGACCAATATCATTAAAAGCAGTAGATCTCTGAGATGAATAAAGAAATATTCAATATTCAATTAGAAAGTACACGAAGAAATGAAAAGTTGTTCGTTTTCCTCTTACGGAGGGACTATAAAATAAAAAAAAAAGAACGGAAAATGATGATGATGCTTTGTATTAACGGTGAAGGAAGAAACATGAAGAATTTAACGTATTATTCCTCTCTCATGAAGGATTAACGAGATTGAAAGTACGCAAGATGATTTCAAAGCTCTGTCGTTCTATAACACAAGGAGAAAGCGGCATGAACCCTCAGTTACTTCTTATTGAGAAAGTGACCAGCGTACGGCGCATCAAGCTGCAGTAGTCCTAACAGTTAGAAATGACAAGAGGAAAAATAAAGGAAAATAAATTTGAAAGGTTGTTGAGGAAGATGTTCATTCATCTTGTCTCGAATGTGAGACGAAGGAAAAATCATTTTGAGTCCCCCCGAGACTTTCTGATTTCGCCCCCTGATGTTCCACCGAGCCACAGAGACTCCCTGATGAGCCACGCCATTATCAGGTCCATATGTGACACGCATCCTGCTTATAGCTACAATACTGTTGTCAAAAGTGAGTGAGAGAGAGACAAGAAGAATAATTGAAAATCTACCTTTAATTTTCATTTGGAACGAATGTTTCCTGAAATCACACAACAACCTGACGCAAGTCGATAAGCTGAGTGCAAAACCCGAACTTTCAGGGCATATATATCAAATGAATTATTTACCGATGTCTCCAAAGCTAACCTAAAACCTTTAATTGAGACGTAAAGTATACCAACTTTTAACAATTACGAAAAAAATGTTTGAAAAAAAAGATTGAAAGCCAATTCTAATCTCAGTTCTTTCCTCAGCTAGACAAAATGTTTGCCACTATTTTTCGAAAACTTGGGTCAATTTTTGGATTAAAAAGAAAATTGTAGATATTCTTCTCACATCTTAACTAAAAATAACAAAGCGAGAGTCCTGACACGTGACATTGTTTACGATTTTTTTTTAACAAATCTTCAGGCGAAGGACACGAACACGAATATATATACAGGATATTCAGCAGGCGAATATAACTTCCGTATTCAAGGGCCTTTAATTTCTCGACAACGAGCAGGACAACATTTTTAATCATCTAGTTGAAACATGAAAACGTGGTTTTGGATCTTCGGCTGGTTTCTTTCAATCCTTACCATTACTGGGAACGGCCTCATTATCTTCCTGATTTGTAAGCGTAAACAGCTTCGCACCAAAACCAACGCGTTTGTGGCGTCTTTAGCTGTGGCTGATTTCTTTGTTGGGATGACGGTTGTTCCTGTGTTATTTATCCTAAAAGAAACAGTTTCAAAAACTGAGCTAGCAGATGAGGTCCAGCTCTATGTGAGGTTGTTTTTTGTGAGGGCGTCAGTCACGAATTTATGCAGTCTGGTATTGGATCGCTTCGTGGCCGTCGTGAAACCATTGAAATACTTGATATTTATGACGCATGGCCGAGTCATTCAAGTGGTTTTCTTGTCATGGGCCTTTCCGGCAATTTTTATCACAGTGAGAGCATCTCTCCACTTTGCCTTCCAAGAGCGACACCTCGATAACATCTTTAATTGGTTAGACGCATTCAATTTTAAACTTGTCCCCTGTGTCATGTTAGTCTTCTGCTTTGCATGTATGCTAACTATTATTTGTAAGCACCATCGAAAAATGCGTACTCTTGTAAAACAAATACGTTCCAATGCACCCGTTTTCTTTCGACCTCAAGATAGCGCCGCTGTTAAAATAATGGCCATTGTTATTGGGGTGTTTCTGTTGTGCAGCGCAATCAGGTTCCATTGCGGGTTCAGTTCTCTTAGCCGCGGTAATATCGATTGTGATATTCTTCGCGTAAAAATACTTATTACAATTTTAAACTCAGCTGTAAATCCTATAGCTTATGCAGTATATAAGAGAGACATTAAAAAAGAGCTTAAAAGGATGACAAGAATGAACTTTTCGGAATAAAACACAATTCTGGAGAATAATTTCAAAATTCGTAAGAAGAGTAGAAATAGAGAGGAAGTACTTCTCCAAGTTTTAAGCTCGGCTGTTTTAACAGCTAAAGAGTTTAAAGAATGAACACTTGAGAATGACTCTACAATTAATCATAGAGAATAATAACATTGGTAAAAAGAGTACAAATGGAGAGATAATACTTTTTTAAAATTTTAAACTCAGCTGTGAAGCCTTCAGCTTATGCATCATTTAAGAGAGATAAAGATGGAGCAAATCGATTGATCGTTTCAACCTTTCCACTCCTAAGATCTCATTAGTAATTCTCCTCGCTGTCTGCCATACAATTGTTAGAATGTTACTTCAGAGAGTATAGTGTTGGATCAAATAATAAATTAATTGATATATATATATATTTTTTTATTCTCATCTCTTGTCTGTTTGATATCGTAAAGAGGAAATTCTGTCTCGTTCACTCATGGGAGTAAACAATTGAGGACAATTTTATGAAATCACAAGAGTCGGTCTACTTAACGTACACAAGTGATTGCACTTCTAAGAGTGAAACAGATTTTCATTTTCAAGGAGGTTAAGCGACCGCAAATTAAAACTAATGATAAGAAAAAGCAAACAGATTGTTGAAAAATTCCGAGTGAATCATGTTTATTAAAATCTTAAAGGAGCGACTGTTACACACATTTCAGTGAGCAGTTCGTTAGGCAGTGACAGAAAATTTTACAAGGTGTTGGGAATATGTTCCCTTCCAAGCTTACACTAAGCCAAGGCTACATAAATGGGATAATTGAGTCTTTCAGCTGCAATTAATATTGGTTTTCGCATCTGTTTGTCTTTTGATCTTAGAGCCTTTTTGCGACAGTTCACAATACAAACTTACAATGTTTCGCCTACGACAATTGAATTATAGAGGGGTTTTGCAGCAGAAGGGTTTTTATAGATTTCAAGCTAGAGTCGGTGCATTTAGTAATGTTGTTGCTTAAAAAGCTTTCATGCATGGCAGAAAAGTCTAACGGAAAAGTTATACTCATCATCTCTTCTTAAACATCATCATCTCTCAGCGACATTTCTCTGAAGAATTCCATTAGACAGTATAAGCTCACACTCTCGTGCGTTTGGCCAAACTCGGATTTGAGTTTGGCAAAGTCACTGTCAAGACCTTGCCGGGTTCCAACAACTTTGTCCTGGTCATTTCGGCTCGACTTTACCTCCTAACCGACACAAAAAAGTTATGCAAATCATTCCCGCACGAGACAAAGTGATAACTAAATATTCAAGAGAATCATCACGAACGATACCTTAATAAGTTCACTCCTTTTCATTTTGTGTGAATCTTCATCTTGAGATTCCATTTCACCCGGTGGAGGACTCTGTCTCGTTTCCATAGACAAAAGGTCCAGTTTCAAGGACTGAGCATGCGCACGGGCTTCGGCGACGGAAATTCGCACCTTAAAAAGAAATAATTAAGATATTCCAAAAAAACTTTCATGTAGGAGTCGGTTGTTAGACAGTCGTTTAGACCTTATGCGGGATTAGAATTGAATCGGTTTTAACCTTTTTCGTATACAAACGTAAAGCATATTGCTGCTAACCACGTCTTATGGGGTTTAGACTAGGGTAGGCCAAGCTGAGGGCGACAGAATATAAACAACAACGATTTTTTTAACAAGCTATCAAATTACATGAAAAAAATTACTCTAACATAGGCTTAGCTTATCTTGTTTTGGATTTGGCATTTGTACATTTGTACAATATGTACATTACGGGCGAGTTAGTGCCGGTTATCTAAACAAAGTTTAACCGTTGTTTAACAACACTAGGTTCTAAACTTAAAATCTTCAATTTGGCCGCACCTTTTATCAGAAAAGCCATTTCTGCGAATAGTGTCAAAAGGGCCGAAAGCTGGTAGTGGAAGGATGTTTATTCAATTTAAGCAACCCTCTCACAGAGAATACCCGAGGCCCACTGATTGCGTAAAACCGCGGTATGGGTTGGACCTTCTTTTAAATAACCGGCTCAAAGAGTTTAAGCAAACCTGGACGTGATCAAATAGTCGAAAATCAAATGATCCCACTGCATTCTTAACTGTGATGTGAAATTCGTGACAGGAAAGCGATCCTTTGAGGGTAAAAAAATTGACACAAAAATCAGTTTCACTTCTCTGTGTACGATCACATTGTAAGGTAGGTCTATAACTATTCATAAAAACTCTTTAGCACTGGTTGTAGTTATATTGTTTTCGTTATTGAACATGACGAATAAATAGAGCGTAAAGTTAAAAAGGAAAAAAACTAGGAAATTTCCAAAATGGAGGTATATTTTACTTAAGACACTGTCTCTACCGGAGGTCTTTGTCCTAAATGTATTTTTTTCCAGAAATTATAACGACTATGATTAACTGGTAACAGGAAATGAGGGAAGGGATTTTATGAGATTCATTGTCGACAAATTTTGAAACTACTGCTTGGCAGAAGATTCCCGCTCCATAACCGTTCAAAGGAACACTGGACTTAAACCACTGGCGGTTTTGATAAGTCGAGTAAACGAGAACGCCGATAAAAACTAGGCAATGACGTAAATCAGAGGAGGTCTCATAAGCTCACCGATACACAAACCTAGACGGAACTGAAGAACGAATTTACTGACCTGGGCCAAAATACACTGATTCCTCTGTTATGTGAGAAGTTACTACTTGTCCTGTTTTGTCCTTGAGATAGACTGGACCTTTTAAACCATAACTGAAAAGGGAAAAAATCATCAATAAGAAATCAATTACTTTAACAAAGTTATAATGTAAGGTAACCTTTAACAAAGGGAAACGCTGAGCAAATAAAATTTTATCCCTTGATTTCCTGATGTTAGGCATGTGTATGGGATTATACATTGAGTGGAAAAGCTGCTATTAATTTGAAGTTCAGGACCGCTTTGAGAAGCATAAACGTTTAAGAATGTAGCGTTAGTTCGTCAAGAATTACTACCTGCCTCTTTCATTTTTCACCTATCAAGATGAAAAACATACTGGCAATTAGGCGTTTCTGTTCAATTCGACACTTGAATATCAAAATTTTCTCACTCTTCAAATATCGCAAAAACCACTCTAACTCTTTGAGTCGCGGGAGTGATAGGGATGTAAATTCTCCTTCTTTTTTTTTTTTATAGAAAATCTTTGGAAGACCTTTAATGAGAATGAAGGAAGTTATCAGCTATAAGAGATAGATTGTATATGATACCAAACTTCCTAAACAAGTTAACAACGAACTGTATCACCGGATATTTGTAAGGGTACACCCACTTCAACAGTTTAACCCAAGGAACATCAAAAGGGAGTTACAAGTCATCTTTAGCTTCATCCACTATGAGAATGTAAATTAATATTTACCGAGGAACCAATACTAGGAAACCATTGGCTCTGAGGCTGAAAATAACAGCGTCACAGTTTCGTCTCTCATCGTCTTCAGATAAATCTTGGAAAAACAAGCATTGAAAAAGGTCCACAGATTCCTTCTGGGCGTTCTGAGCAGCCTGACGAGGAAAAAAGCGTAGAAATTTTAACATATATATCAAAAAGCCTTGTTGAAAAATGGGGGATTAGTAACTTTCTCAATACAGGTGTTACGACGAAGTTGAAACTATGGTTTGTTAACAGTTAAAATGTTTTGCGAAATTCATTGAGGAAAATGTTGTTTTATGGCAATTTTTGGTTTATAGAAAAGCTAAGTGCATGTACGACGTGCACTCTTAATGATCAAAAACCTAACTAATGAAACATGGAAAGAAACATATTGCAAAAAAGTTTTCTGTGTTCTTCCAATTTTCCTCCGTTTAACTAGTGGAAAATGCGTTCTTTCGCTTAAATGCACAAAAGTCTTTGACGTTAGATTTTTTTAAGGAAAACATGACGCTCTTTTTTACTCGCCTGATGAGTTACAAAGACGATAAAACGTTTTATAACGAATGGAATCCATACCCTGTGTTTAATATTGATATGATGACAAGTCTCTTGAAGTTCTTTGTTGCTTGGCAGCTGATTATTATTGTCATTTTCAACTGCTGCCATAAGGAGTCTGTGAACCTGTTGACGACAATACTCATAAAGGCACCGAGCAAAAGATTTTAAAAAGACTTTACTTACTTAATCTCTAAACATTTCTAAACGGAAAAATCACAGCTTTTACTCAACTAGAAGTTAGATATGTGATATTTGGAAAAGATGGCCATCACCCGTGAGGGTGCATTATTTTCACAGTCTTTTAAACGGAGAAGCAGCAGCTTCTCATGTTTTAGTGATCTGTTATATTGAATAAGTTGATGACGTGTAGAACTATTTTATCAGAGCCCATGAAGTTTATTTACTCTTCCTTCTGTTTTGTTACAGACTACTGAAATCTATCATCTATATCATAAGAAAATAAAAATTCAAAAGTCCCTCTTTGGCTGAGCTTCATGAACGAGGGAGAAGAGTCATTGGCTGCATTTGTCACAGGCGTAACTCTGCACTCGAGCCGAGAGCCCCAGAAAGCGCTAGAGCTTATTCCCAGACCTCTGTTGAATGAAGCGACTGAAAATAGCAAGCCTAAAGAGAAATATAATTTAAAGCATGTTATAACTAAAATCATGGCTCGGCTATGTTCTTGCCGGATGTAACTTGCTCGTGTCAGCTGCCAATCAAATAAAACTTTCGGTTTTGCAAATGGCACGGTAAAGTGAAGACAAGTTAGACATAAACTGTACAAAGATTTACAAACTCACGATGACGTCCGCATATCTCCTTATCGGTGAAGTGAAATGCGTGTAATGATCCAAGGCGAGACCATAGTGAAAGAAATGTTCCGGTGATAAGGAACCAGTCGAGAAGTATAAAGCATTTGACATGGCTTGAGTTGCAAGAGAACGAACCAACTATGAAAGAGTAAATAGTTGAAACACCAAACTAAAAACCAAACTACAACAATTAAAACGGCCTTTCGGAAAGAAGAGAAATAACTCAAGGAACCAATGAGGAGTGGAGGTAAAAAACAAGAAAGCTTCCTGAAGCTCGAAAAATGCTAGTGATCAAGAGGCAGTCGAGTGAGGCTAAGTGTAACTATAACAGGTTAATTTGGTGGTATCAACTGAGTTGATAATACCAAATTGCTTTGTTATACTCTCTAACCGACGCAGCAACACAGTTTCTTTAAAAAATTACTCCCTTTTTTCTTATGCTGTGATACTTCATAAGTAAATCACCATGCTATCATGCTGAATAAGAACCCATCTCTGTCACATTAAGGTCACCTCTAGCCTCAATCCTGCTCAAAGGCTTGGCAACAGTTTAAGATTATTTTTTCGAAGCATCATACCAATACGTTTAAGGCTGGGTACCTTGTTGAAGTTGGGATCCTGAGGGTCAACGCACTCATCGAGCGAGTCTGCCAGAGATTTATTGGAGCTGAAATTATGGTGAAAAAATCATTGACGGACGAACGTAGGTAGAGAAATAGGTATGAAGGTAAGTACAAAGAGAATTTGGCGATTTAGTAGATAACGGGATGAATTATTTAAAAGGAAGGGAGGGGTGCGTAGGAGGGTAAGCAGATAGATCGCTAGGAACGGTTTCTGTTTTTCGACCACAAAAATGGAATCAACAGCATCTTTCTATAACACTTGATGTACAAGATTGTGTTATCTTTGCGTTTACTCGGATTCTGTTCGGACGGTACCTTGTGTCGATGGAAAATCCTTTAGAGGCTGCACAATGTATAAGGTTTGAGAAGTGCTGTTTCCTTGGCAACGGGTGGTGACGTAACTATAAAAAGTACAAGCTAGAATTAGCTCTTGTTAATGAAAAGTCTCCATCATGAAAAAAGAAATTCACTTGAATGTTTGAAACTTCAGTTAAGGTGACTTCCACCTTACCAGAGCTGCACTTGGGAAAGCTTCCGCAATCTTCTTAGCGACCCAGTGATTAGCAAATATCATACACTCCGCCACAGTTTCATGGATTTCTAAGGGCTGCGAAAATAATATTCATAATTAAATACTCTCGTTACAATTCAGGATGGAGTCAGTAAGGCTGTATGCCTTCTACACGCGCATTACGTTGACGCATGCGCAACATCTCAGCAAGATAATGTTTTTTCCTTAACCCTCTGATCCCTAAAAGTGACTAGCATCTCATTTCTCCCTACAGTACCACCCCTGAATCAAACATTAAGGTCGGGAGAATAAAGGAAATGATCACCAACTGAAGAAGCTCTTGAACCCTTTGACCCCTAAGAGTGACTAGCATCTTATTTCTCCTTACAATATCATCCCTGAGTCAAACTTTGAGGTCATGAGAATAAAGGAAATGATCACCAACTGAAGAAGCTCTTGAACCCTTTGACCCCTAAGAGTGACTAGCATCTTATTTCTCCTTACAATATCACACCTGAATCAAACATTAAGGTCATGAGAATAAAGGAAATGATCACCAACTAAACGAGCTTATGACTGTCAAACAAATTCTTCTTGTCAGTACCATAGAAAATGTGAAGAGAACAGTATAAATAGTCAGACAAAATTGGAATAAGGCTCCTCGTTATTTTACCTGAAGCCGTAAAAAAAACCCCTGAACAACACAAAGTACACTGTAAATCGCACTAAAGTATATGCATTTTGTATTTCACCTTTTTAGGAATTAAATCTTTAATGTCCTTCTTATCACCCAGCTGGACTTGAACTTCAACACCTTCCAGCTCCAGGGCTCCTGTGAAAAATTAGACCATGATACCTGGTGTACAGTTCATCTATGCTGACACTCAGTGACTACTACATGTATATGAATGCAGCTGACCAGTACTGTTTAAGAATAAATTTGGCTTTTTGACAACAGTATTGATCACATTACTATTGATACCTTCTTAACAGTCAACATTTGATGTCAAGAAGGAGAGACAAAGCCCTATTAGGGTTAGTTTCTCTTTTTCAAAAACAACAAATTTTCAAAATATCCTTAAAACGTAATTTGTAAGCTATTCCATACTCCCGAGAGCCATGATAAATGTAAGACGGCATTGAGCTCTATCAACAACGTAATGGATTTATGCTCACGACTAAGTTTAAAGTTTGAATCTGATTGGTCGGGAAGGTGAAGCGATTTTCTGAACCAACCACAAAGCGTAGTATAGCAAATTTTCTTCATTCGCACTATGAGCTCTACTACTGGTGACAGCAATTTATAACTCAGTACGAAACAGAAAAGTTACCATGAATTGTTCTTCTTGTCTTAATAACTCTTGCAATATCCATAAGTTTCGTCACCGTTTTTCGAATTTCTGACAATCTATCGGGAAAAAAAACGCCAAAAAAAGCATATCTGTAAGGATTTGCGTAATCTACGCTACAGAAAATTGTCCTAAAATCAAACGTGCTCTTTATCTCTGTAGGTAATATGGAAACATGTGTCACTGAACGGTGAGAACCACCACTGTCATTCAAACTCAACAATCACACACATAATCAACACTCAAGCTACTCGTTTTCTTCTTTTCACATCAGAACTCGCCGTTTAGTGATTCTTAGTTTGGTTATATCTTTGTCTTACGGTTTACATTTCCAATACGATGTATACATTTCTGGCGGGAAATCTGCCAGAAATGGAATGTAAAAGAACCTTTTAGATGCTTCCGTTCGATCGACTTCTTGTAATTCAGGAATGTCTTTTATGAGGTCATCATCGCTTGTCTCTCCATCAGCAATGGCTTGCGCTGCCTACGAAAGTAAAAGAACAAACTCCTTAAGGTCACCTTATCCAAAATGTCTTTTTATACTTTAAAGCTGGAAACGTGCATCTACAAATACCTAATAGCTATTTGGGGAAAAGGGATGAATGGCCTACCTGGTTTAATATTTAGGATTTTTAGTTTTCCACCGCTATTTTGGAGTAGGCTTTTGTCTATTCTTCAAGCCGGGGGTGTTATTACAGAATCAAAGAAAATTGTGTCCAAGCCTTATCGACATGAAATCACCAAAACAAGAACTAAAATGGCACGAGATATAATTTACCTCGTAAAACAGCTTGTAGGAAGATCGTATGACCGTACGACCAAACCATGTCTTCAAAACATTGAACTCCGAGTCCAAAACCCACATAACACTAACAGCATACCTGTTAAAACACTCGAATAATTAAAACCATGGTCGCCACAGACATGAACTTTTAAAATTCCCTAACTTAAGGACCTAAGGAAGATGATGGAGACGCCTAAAGAGCAATGGGAAAAACACCTCCCGACGAACTGAAAATGTAACTTTTCCTGGATATCATTACATCGTCCAGCATACAAGCTATCATACTGAAAAAAAACTTGGCATTTAGAAACTATTTCTTGATACAACACCACGTTCTTGTAACTTATTGTGAAGACCATGTCAAGTGGTTAGAATAAAGAGCTACAAATCGGATGTTAAGAGAAAACCAAACAACCAACAGAAACCAATAGAGAGTCCTAAAGCGTAGTCTGTGCCGCAGCAGCTGTCAGGAATGGACAGAGATACCTTATGGACTCCACCAAACTATCAGAGACGGTCAATTTATTTCCTAACTGGGGAACCGAAACGATGCAACTTTACCTATCAACACCTCCGATCAGTGAACACAAATCAGCGCTTAGCACTTCTGGTAACATGTCAAACCTTCGATCAGCCAGGTAGACAGTGGTAGATCTGTTGCACAAAGAAAAGAAACGTCTGCTGAAAAATCGTGAGCTCAGGGGCGTGCTAGGCAAATGTTGTTATGATGCTTTTACACACGAATAACAACACTCGCAACTGTGTGACGTCCTTGTGTAACATCGAAATATAAGGAAGCTTTAAAAACGACCAGAAAAGTAATGGCACAATAGTTGATAGTAATGACAGGGTGACAGGAACAAGCATAGTACATTTCTCAGACGCACCTCTAATCCCAGACTGTTTGGTACTACATTTTACAATTTGCTGGGCCATGAATTTTTTATCATGGAGAGAAAGGTTGATTCATTGGCCTTATGGTTAGTACGTTGGACTTGAAGTGTTCAGGTTTGAACCGTAGTTTCAATCATTTCACAGTGTTCTTAGACAAGACACTTTCATCTGACAGTGCCACTAAATGTTAGTGTAATTTTCATTCGAGTGTCGAAATTTATCCGGGATAACTTTGGTTTTGATTTTCTTCACGCTGTGTTTGGTTCAGAAAACTCCCGCCACTTTCTCAACCAATCAAATTCAAAACTAAATCTAAACACGACTTGGTCACATGCGTTTTCCCGCGCTTGGGGTAATTTGCTTTTTTTAATTTGAATTATTTTTGCCTTGATATGATATTTCCTTTTTTATGACTGGCTGTTATAATCACTGTGGTTTTGGTTTTACAACACTCAGTCGAAATTCGCTCTTGAATAAAATTGAATCGTCAGGGACGAAATACAATAGGTGGGGAGAGGAGGAAGAAGTAACCTGTGATGGACTAGCATTCAATCCAGGAAGAGTACTGGTGCCCATACTCCCAGCGGAATCATACCGTGAATGCCAGGTTACGCTGCAGCGGCTGCATGAATATGAGTCAGTCTTATACCAAGAATTTTCTTATGTTTTATCGCTGTGAACTATGTGGACAGCGTGTACCTGGATTTAGCCTCAGCGTCTGTCAAAGATCCTGGTCGGACAAAGTGAGACACATCTGCAATATGAACACCGAGTTCGATCTGCCCACGTTTCAGTGTTCTGTTGACAAATAATTACAAAGATTGGAAGGTCTTTGGAATAAGAGTTAGAATTTACACATGTAAAAATGTACTTATCGAAGTATATAACATGCAACCGTGAAGAGAAGAAATAAAGATATTGTCACAAAATTAATTTAGGCACGAACTTCTTCAATTCTATGGCATACTTTGATCTGAATCATTCCTTTATCTCCCAGAAGTGAACATCACGTAATTTTTTCCCGACATGGTCAACTGTATATCCAATAAAATGGGAATAAACAAACCTATTTGCTGGAAGGTGATACTTTGACACCAAATTCTTCGACAGAATTTACCAGAAAAAGTATAGAAGCTGAGAGGTAGAGTTACTAATTTGATCTCAGGAGTTAGAGAGTTGGGCCTTTCACCTATGATTTCCCAAACACCTATTAGCTTGTGCAGTAAATGGAAAAGGTGTAGCAAGGCAGTACGTTATCAAAGCAATCAAATATAAAACTAAAAGGGTTGAAAATAGAATTCATCTTCACCCTGTTAATACTTCTTAGAGTGTGGTGCACAGAACATTACCTGACAGATAGAGTATCATCGACATCTTCGCATCCTTTTGGATCAATGCTGAAGATCAAATGCGATTTTCTAATAAAGAAAAGAGAAAAATGAAAATTGGTCTATTCAAATTTTTCTCACGAGTTTGTGTCATGACTCAGAAATTCTTCATACTATTGATAATAATGTTAAGCTCACCCAAAAACGGTTAGAAATAGCGGACGATAAAGAGAAATTGCTTTGTTTAGAATCACCTAACCTTTATAACTCAAGATTCACACCAGAGTGTGCGACTTTACCATTTTTCTTTATAACCAGTGAAAGATCACTCTTTGCCAAGAAATTTCCCTCTTCACTCATTTAACTGAGATTCGGTCGCAACCGTACAACTTATACACACTCGATGTCCACAGTTGTTGTTGCGAAGAGAACGGAACGCCAGACTATACGATAAGATACCCATTGTTTCTTGAAAAAAAAAAAACCTAAACTTCCAAAGGAAATTTAAAGAGAAGAGTAACAGTTACTGTTGAGTTAAAACAAAAGAAACAAGCAGAGCGCTTTTATCATCCAAATGTTGATGGTGCATACGCTTTAAAACTGACGTTTGTATGATGCTCACCGTAAATCTCGCCTTTTTGCTATTTCCGCCTCAGACATTACCCAGGGGCTCTTTGTTGTGTTGGTGGGAAGCTCCTTCACTTGTGCTTCAGTGAATGAGGGCGCTGCAAGGGTGTGCTCCACCATCAAGGCTTGAACCTCGGTCTCTAGGTCGCCAATGGGGCCCAACGAACGAACAAAATGTCCACTAGGGTACATAGAGTTCACCTCCCATAAATCGATCCTAACGACAATTCTGTTTTAGAAAAGAAATGGTTTGAGAGCGGAGGTAAGAGAATCGATCACATGTGGATAACCCGTGTGACGGACTCTAAGGCAGTCTTGAGAAGGACTCCTGTTGGCGGCAGTAACAAACTGGGTGACAGTCATCCTCACAAGTAAACGCTAACTCAGTTTAAGTATGGTCCGATACAGCAGTGCCACGACACGGTGGTTGTTAACGTGCGAAAATGCTTCAAGTCGTTATTCCTTAAATTGACCGAAATGCCGACAGAACAGAACTAGAAAACTGGACTGTAGTTTTCATACCAAATAGACCTCAATTTCTCGACCGAATGTCGCGAAACTGAAAAAAAAAAGTAATCATAAAAACCCAAATAGAAAAATAGCATGTAAGTATTTTGGATTCAGACGCGCGTAGGACAAAAGGAGTTCTCTTTCGCCCGCGTGTTTGCTCACTTTTGCGCACTTTTTATGCGTTAACGTCGAACGCCCTCGATGCAACTTATTAAAACAAAGGAAATCATCACCAGGAAGAGTTCTCCCTTGCGAGTGTGCTCTCTTTCGTCCACGTGTCCGCTCTCTTTGATGCGCGTTTCATGCGTTAATGTCGAACGTCCGTTATGCAGCTTATTTAAACAAAAGAAATCAGTACAAAGAGCCCATGAAACCTGAAAGACGCGTTTCTCTAATTCCTTCAACACACCTTACAGGAACGAGTAAGGTTTCATGCATAGAGTAACCCAAAGCAATCCCCGTCCTTCAAAGGCGAAAAAAACATATCGTTGTTATGGAGGTCCGTTAGTTGAGAAAAACGTTTTGTTATGAACCAACCTGTGATCTCGCAAGCTGTCAACTTGACGCGTACTTATTCTTATCTTGGGTATACGGTAATCCCATGGAACCACAACGACCTGAGTCAACACAAAAATTAAAATTAGACTGAGTATTGGTTCACCCTGGTATCAAAAGTAAACTTAAAAAAAATGGAGTTAGGGTTTGGTCTAAAGAGGAAGGAGGGGTGAAGCTTAACGTACTGAATACCCAGTCACTTTGAACCTGCACCCTTAATGGGGCTTCATACGCGGTCAGATAGCCTATGATCAGATTGGATACGATTACGCGTGGATACACAGTCGATGTAAGCTAAGCATGCATTGAGTTCATAAAATTTCTTGTTCTCAAGGCGTCATTCCCGCCTATCCACTGCGAGTTCAACTTCCAATATTACTACGGGAGGGATGGTCGTTGCCACTGCAAGCCTAACATATCCACCTACCCGTGTGTCCACTTCAAATATTAATGCAGTCTTGAACAAAATTTGTTACAAATCCCTAAAATCAACCAATTTCCACATGCGACCCTCCATTCCCTCGTTCAATGTTGAATACTTATTAGACTGTGTGCAACTATGACACAAAATTCTTTATTCGGGTGTCCAAGGTTGAAGGGGAGGGTGTTTCCTTGCTACTTCATATTCACGTATCTGCCTGACCACTTAAAACTTCATGTATAATGAGAGAAGGAGTGGTTTTCAACGAAGTGTCCGTGTATCTTCTCCGAGAAGCAGCTTTATGCGACAGGCTATTCGGCGGTTACTCTCTCCTGGAAGTTTACGCATACAGCAAAAATCATTTACCTTTCCAGCTTGTTTCCTTAAACCCTGGGTTTCCTGAAAATTTACAGAAACGAGGCAATCTCAACATGAAAAAGCTTCTTTCTTTTTAGACCTACCTAAGCAGTAACCTTAACAACGAAGCTACTAACTCAGCTGTAATTCTGTACAATACAATTCCCCAGTTTTGGTAAAATCTTGGGTAAGTTGTTAATTGGTTGGAATAATCAGAAGGTTCGAATATCGAAGGAAGAACTACATTTACAGTTATTTGATGAGAAAGGGAAGTGATTCCAGTTGCCACAAGTTTGTAAAACCGAGGGTTTGAATATTAAGGATTAACTGAAGCTGAATCTCAGCAGTCATTTGTTTTTCGGAGAGCTCTTCGATTAAGATTCGTAAAAACCAAAACCAAGGTAATCTGAACAGCCAATAAAAACACGGGTCAACAACACAATGAACCCATGAGAGCCTAAAGAAAATAAGAACTTTCAATAGGAAATGGCACACTCTGAGATGAGATTTGACGAAACGAGTGAAACTCACGGTGGACAGCTGAACATGTTGGTTTATGAAGAAGTATTTACCTCATTTTCAGCAAAACTTGCGACATAATCTCTCCAGTTCCTTTGCACCACTCCCACCACACGGCCAGTTGGCATGACGTCACTTTGGTCTTCTCTAGACTCGTCTGCACCTAAATAGAGGCCATCACTTGTATTATTTAGGTGTGCAGTTTGTATTCATGTGTTCACAGAATTTGATTGAACGCATCAGAGTTCCACAATACTGAATGATTTGAGGGTGTAAGCACCAGACTGTTAAGAGGTTTCTTTCAGTCATGTTTCCCTAAATGTGATAAGTATCTGTCCTCCCCACTGCTTGGAAGCTAATGGCGGCATTAGCTGAATTTACCAGAATTAAAGTTGTCAAGACCTACAAAGTACCGGCTATAAGTAGACTGCTGTTTTAAGCCTCTGGACACGACAGGATAAAAAGTGGCACCTTAAGGCTTAAAAGCATTTCTACATTTCAAGTATTAACTTAAGATTTTTCACACCTTCATCACTGCTTCTAATAGCCATTGATCTGCCCTTCCACTGAGATTTGGAAAATAATTCCACCACTACAATATCACCATGCACTGCCCGATTTCTGAAACCACAAAATGTTACTGAGCATTGCACTTCAATCTGGGTGGCTATACAAGACTGTAGACTTGCTTAACCCTTTCACTCCAAGATCTTTTATGTAATTCCCCTTACTGTATGCCATACAATTCTTATGATGTCTGTACAAAGAATTTGGAATTAGATAAACTAATACTCCCATTATTGACATTTTTCTTTCTCCTCATCACTCAACAGGTTGGTATTGTATTGATATTGTAAGGAGAAACTCTGTCTTGGTCACTCATGGGAATTAAAGGATTAAAGTGAGTACACATAAACTAAATAGTATATAAAAAAAAAAGCATTTTGAGTTGACATTTCGTTGTTCATACAAACCCACAGGGCTGCATCAACAGGTGTGTTAAAATTACATAAGGTATGCAATAATTGTAAATTGTGGTAAATTTAAACTTCAAAGGTTGCAGTGAAAACATACAACTGTACTGTACTCAGGCTTAAATGGTAGAGTAATCAATCAAAAGTCCAAAATGATGTTCAGGGAAGTTCTGCAGAGTGGGGTCTTCAAGTTGATATCATCCCTATACTTGGGTCTCAAGGATGAGTCAGACTTTTCTTTGCAAAGTTTTTTTTCTTTTTTCTACACCTGTTTACTAAGTCTAGTTTATGAGATTGGATGTAGGGCAGCAAAGAGATTTTATTTCATTTTCTTTTTAACAACATATATGTCTATTATCATTCCCATTTAGTTCTAACACCACAGAATGCGATCAGACATTGTTTCTGATATTTTCTTTCATTTTTGAGTCTCCATTTCATGTATTATTTAAAAAAGGTGTTCCAGGCATTATGCAAGCCTCCCTCAAAAGTTTGTCACACAGTTGCCAATATTAGTCTAATATTGACCAAATGATTGACAGTTACTGCAGATTTGCAAACACTTGCTTACCTATTCAACATGCCAGTGATGAGTACATCAGAGTCTAGTGAGTCCTTACTGTCTGACATACCCTTGCTAAGAATTAAGAAAATCACTGTTAAACGATAATGTAATGCAATTGATTATTTGCAAAAATAAGCTGGGTGTTCTTGTTTTATTATTCATGTTGGTTAGGTTGATTCCAAGCATTAAGGGTCCCAAATTCTTGCCTACATCAGCTTATAGCTGGATGAGTATAGTATATGTGCAAAATTAATGTATGTCTTTAGAACAGTTTGAAATGTGAGAACATAAACTTCATTTTAATTCAAGGTAAGCTTTCTCTCACAGGGCCCTTAGTCCTTCCTCTCTTGGTATTCAAGTTCATTTAGTACAAACTTTAACTTCATGCACTTGAATAAGCTGCACTTAAATGTAATGATATCATAGATTGACAACAGAGGAAACATAACATACCCTGACTTTTGAACAAATGCCTCATCTTGTGCACAATGTTTGTTGACATTGAGACATCCTTGCAAGAAACGACCCTTGGTAAGGAAAGACATTTCTACAGTAACAATGGGATTAAAAGCTTGAGGTTTCCAAGGCATGATATGCATAGTTGATCAGCTATCATGTAAAACAAACAAGAGTTGTTTCACTTTGTTTACAACCGCACACCAATAGGCCACTCACTTTATCCCTTTAAATCCCAATATCAACATGTATATTCCCATCACTGTTCTCCACATGTTTCTTATTTAACTGATTGAGAGAATTTGTTCAAAAATCCAGACATTTCATCTTTGGTGATCATTTCATTCACTCTCATAAACTGTGCATTTGATCAGGCAGTAATATTGTTAGGAGAAATTAGATGCCACTGTTGGGACTTGAAGGGTTATTCACTAAGGTGTGCAGACATGTTAATCTATCATGGAATAGTTAGCTGCTAACAAAGCCAATTATATTTATAATAAGCATTTGTGAAAGAATGCTGGTAAAAATTAATCATCATTATTAATAGTAACTCTTCCATTAAAAAATCTCTCTCTCTTACAGCTTTAATTCCAGCTTCAAGAACTTCGGCTGGTAAGTATTCTTGATATTCCTTTGTGGATGCTTCACTCACTGCAATGAGTATAAACTTAAGTTAAAATGAATTTTTTTTAAAAATTATTTAAAAAAATCAACCAACAACAACAACAAACATATCAATTAATGTTTCTCTAAAACATATCATTTTCTTTTGTTTTTCAACTGAGATTCTTGACAAGGGAAATTTAGTTGTCAACACTAAGAACCAAAGTGCAGAACCCATTTCATCTTTAGAGTTGGTACAGAAAATGTCTCCACTCCCAAGATTTTGTTCCCAATCACCTTCCTCCCTTAGTGTTTGTCCTACAATTTTGTTCACTCCAACCTTCACTTGATCTTATCAATCTGAAACTAATATCACGGCTTCAAAATTCATTTGCCTCTGCCTGAAATCATTCCAGTTGTGCAAGCTACTCCCAAAAAGAATGAAAGGGTGCTTAAGGCTGATCAATATAATTTTTATCAAATTTAGGGTACACTCAGTCTTACCTGATTCATTTGCTTCATTATTTACAGCAGCCAGGGAATAATACAACTCCAGAATTGATTGAAAAGAGGGATAGAAATCAGTAAGGTAGTCCTCAGTTCTCATGATAAACACTCCTGCAGACTTGTTTCCATACTTTTCCACAATCTGCCAACATACATATAGGAAAATGTTCCCAAAAAACATACACACTTAAAACTAACTGTATTTAAATGTAGATTTTATCCAATCTGTTTACCTAGATTATAGATTCAATCTGTTGGCTTTAAAAGAGTGCCTAGCATCTAGTTTCTCCATACAATATCACCCCTGAACCAAACATTAAGGTACAAGTTAGGATAAAGGAAAATAATGATCAACAGCAAAAGAAACTCTTGATTGTGTAACAAATTCTCCTTTTCAGCACCTTGGGTAATGTATAGAGAACAGTATGGAGAATATGGATCCTGGTGATAGGGTGTGAAGGGTTCATCATAAAAGTCACTCAATGGGAAGCCCCCATCATATTACATAGTGTTGTTACATTTTTCTTTCAAATCACTGACCATGTTTGCACCTTAAGGTACAAATTTCAGAGGTGATTAAGCCTAATTACAGTATCTAACAAAGATGCTACTCTTAAATCAACTTCTATATTGTATATTGAGGATTTTATATCAATATACAGATAAAACTTAAAAGTTGCTGAGAAAACAAAATGTTGGTGTTGTACTACATTATGCACAAAGGAGATGGAGCTGTACATGTATGGTGTATATGTTACCTGCTGGTCTTCTGTTAAGATCACAAGGGGCATAGCTTGGTTTAAATGATTATAATACCAAACAGCACCAGTGTAAATGCACCTTCAAAGAAAAAGGAACCTCTCTTGAGTGTGGAGATGAAAAAAATAACAAAACAGTAGTCAAAGCTTTCTAGAAAACTTTACACATCAAATGAATATGAAAAAATATCTAAAAAACAATGTTGTGGTTTGAATTGTTTTGTTCTGCATTTTTTTTCTTGTATAAGTTGTAAACTTATACAAGTAAACTTGTATAAGTTCTGACTGCAAAAATTATTGCTGTGCCTTCAAAGCTTATGAAGTCACTCTGCTGTCAAAACTGACAAGTTTTTTTTGGACAAAATTTCTAATAATTGACCATACTTCTCATCTTAAGTGAAAAAAATAATTAAATGGTCACAAATTTTAAATCAGTCTATGTCCTCAACATAGCTTCACCTCCACTGCCACTCTTCCAAAGACTCCCTGGGTTCCCTGGCAACATAAGCCCCATCACAGAACTCATTACTGAATATGATGCTCTGCTGCCTGTTATCGTTCACAATATCTTTTAATTGAGATTGAAGTTTTCTCCCTCCTTGATGCTGGACCTATGAAAACATTTACAGAAGTGCTTCATGTGCAAGTGCATTCATTGACTTATATGCTAAAGGAATATCCACTCATAACTAAAAGTAAATGTGTTCTTGGCCTTTTTAGCTCAGTACAATAGAGTTAGAAAACTGAAAGTGAAATTTACTCATGATAAGACAATAAAATAGGTTGACAAGAAAGCATATTATCAAACGTTGTACTTGCTTATTCTTATGTGTGATGTTTTATTACACCTTTAAGCATTAATTCTGAAAATGAAACATTTATAACATAGCACATGTGCTTGCCATATATAAGTCCTATTAAGCTGCATTGAACAAATCTTTATTTACGCATGCCTGTGTGTAAATAAGATGACATGAGCATTTTTTTAAACTGGCTTCAGAGTTTCTGTCTTGTTAAGCTGCAGTGCAGTTTTCCTTCTCTTTGCAATATGGAAGAAACCAGCAAAGAACTGCCCAATTTTTCTATTGGCATTGACCTTTTAGGTCCTGATCCAACAAGCAACAAAAATAAAGCAGGAAAAAAACTTGCAAGTTGCATGTTTTGCAAATTTGTGGGAAGACCAGCTGCAGCAAATTTTGGCCGTAAACTAGATCAAATGTTCTTGCTCAAACCAAAGTATAAAATGTGGTGTATTTTTGACCAGCCAATAGGTACGTTTGTTTACTTTTTTTGTGCGTTGTGAGAATTTTGCACTCTATCACAATAAAAGACTTCTTCATGCAGATCCTTGTTTTTGCTCTGTTATAAAAGAATTTGTTCATGCTTTTAGCTGTGCGTATATTGAGTTATGGATGTACTTGGGAAGTTTAGAGAGCACTCAAAAAGCTAGAGTTGCTCTCAGCTGTGCCTCGAGCTACTCTTACACATTTTTGGTGCTCTCCAAACTCCCCTCATGCATCTGTAACTCAATATATGCATGCTAAGCATGAAAAAAATTCTTAAATATCTGCTATAAAATATCCATCTACATTCTGCAAAATGCACAAAAAAGGTGTTAGGTTCTTACATGATTAACCACTGTTTCAAAGAAAATTACTCCTTGAATTTCTTTGCTCTCAAATATTTCAAGAAACAGCCTTGAAACCTGAAATAAAACACCAAAGAATTAGCTCAAGGAAATTAACCCTATCATTTGGCTTAATTGTGTGTCTTAATTGTGTGTTGTTCTTGTCCTAACACAACTAATTATTTTTCTTTTTTTTTTTAATTCAAAACTTGAATGCCTTCTCTGTCCAACCATCACATCAGTGCCTGTAATTACCTATTAGTAAATACTTGCAAACTAAAATCCCTGAGGATGTGAGGATATCAATTTGAACTCCAAATCAAACCTCGTCAAATGCCCAGTATCTGTCTGCGGAGCATGGCCATTTGCAAAGCATTTGTGATTTTTTTCTTTCTTATCATCCATTTCACACCGTAAAATCGCCTTTGATGGATGGCCCTCAGGAAAAATTTTAGCCTCAAGAAAAACATCGGTTCGGAAAGTTCATGTGATATGTCAGGGCATAATACCAAGACCACCACCAGCAATTTTCGAGTCGATGTCCAAAACAAGCTGGCTACAGGTTTGAAAGGTGTAACTCCATACTACAGTCGACTACAAACTGTTACAAAGCCTTGCTTTCAAATGCAATCTATTGCTTTCGCCATTATTTTTTTTGTCAAAGAACTGTTCGCACAATAAAGTATGGTGTTATACGGAAATATTGCTGAAATGTTTACTCTGCACAAGTCTAACAACGCTTAGGCCAAGATCGGTCAAAGTGCGGTAAACAAACTCAACTTACCTGGCAATCAGGAACAACGTAATGAGTCAGTGATTTACAAAGCAAAGCTCCGTTACCTAAATAACGAATTAAATTAAAGTGTGTGATACTGAACTATATTATTCTGTAACTAAGATAACAACTTCAAAAGATTGACTGTAGCTTACTCTGCTTGCAAACGCATACTTACCTTGTTCGCAAACTGCACAAACTTCACTGTGGCAAGGAACATCTTTCCGCAAATAGTGTTCCCGCACAACATCAAGAAGTCGGCCTGTTTTCGTTTTTAACCTTAGAAGCTTATTAGTTTTGATCATATTTCGGCGTTCATGGATATGAAACAACGGACATTTTTAAAGTGAAACTACAACTTAAACCCGGCGCCATTTTGTTGATTACATATCCCAACAGCACTTGCTAGTTAAACTTTTGATTGGTATCCAGTTACCTCGATACCTCGGTCGCAAACAAATACTTAATGCGCATTGGTCAGTTGAATTGTGCTTACATCTTCCATTTCCTTGCTTTAATATAAGTTCGCATTTTGTTGGAACCGACAGGTTCCGATGAAAATACGTTTGAAAAGTTGTTGCTTGTAATAAGGTAGTTGAGATCCATCAAAAGGCTCTTAACAAGTGGATAAATCGTCTAAAGCATGGGCAGCCCTCCATTACCGTAGACCTCACTTGATACTTTGTCTGTGAAGCAGCGTTTGCTCTACTGTGCTGTGCACTTGTGCTTCAATATTAAATTTTGCCTAATTCAGATTTTGGTGTGCCTGGTAGTTGAAACGTACTTTTAATTTATCATTGTGTTTTTTTTTTCAGTTACCACTGAAAGGCCCGAATCCTTTTTTACTTTGACCACTTCTGGTAATTTTCGAGCTTGTCGCCAAAGTAAGCGGACCAGAGGTTAGAAAGATATAACTCTTTTTTACTTATTAAATATCAATCAAGGGTTGTCATTTTGACACAAAGCTAACGAAAATTATTGCCGTTATTATAAATGCGCTCGCGCTGGTCGCTCCCGCTTAAAATGACAGAGCCTCAAATTGCATCTGATTGGTTTATCAAATCGCACGCGCTTGAATCTCTTTTGTTATGTCACAATCTGGGAAATCCATTCGCATGAAAATACTGTCCAGAGAGACTTATATTTCAAAGCGCGTAAACTTTGTTGAGATATAACCCAGCAAAAGCTAAACATGGGTTCTGCTTTAAGTTCATACAAATCCAAGAGAAGAGATAAGAAAGAATATAAGAGGTGAGTAAACAATTTTCTTCCGGTTGAAGGAAAATATTCAGATGTCTTGCGACTCGATTTTGTTTTCCAGGTGACATTGATCACATCGTCTATCTTGTTCAAATCTGTTTTTTCCGTCGAGTAGGAAACTCAGAGAGCAACTGAAAGAAGCACAAGAACACATAGCTCATCTCCAGGAACAACTTCAGTGTGAAAATGAGTAAGTTCATTCGAGTAATGTTTGCTGGGGTGGCTGATTCTTTCTCGATTAAACTTCTTTTCCTTGACTTTCTCTTTTCTATACCCAACCGTAGAAACCCAGTAAAAAGTTCATATGCACTAGTTATGTAAGTCTCTTTAGCTAAGAGGGCTTCATCTGGGTTATTCCGAGAAAAAGTGAGGGACTGAGTATTTGGGTGGTTGCCCAGTATTTCTAGCTCTTGTTAGACGCAAAAAAGGTGGATAATTGTTCTATCTAAGACCTTTTCTTAGCTTTTTATTTTCTTCAAAGTTTTGTATTGTAAACCTAGAATTAGTACTTGCTGGCGCAATTCACCGTTATTGTTCATTACTTGTGTGGGCTAATTATTCTTCTTCGTTCTCTTTTGACATTTTATGTAGATTACTTGAGGCCTTTCAAAGGTCACACATCGCCCCTAACGCAGGGCCTGGAACACACAAATATCGAGCAGCCACCGAAATGATTAAAGAAATTGACGCTTTGGAGCGAAAGCTTTTCTTTGAGCAAGTTGCTCTGAATGTTACAGAAAATAGATGTGATTTTCTGGATAACAACTACCGGTAATTAAATTGCCGTTTAATACCTGTACACTATGGCGTTCTTAAAAAGTTAAATACAGAAGTTTTAACTCTTCATACCAAAAGATTGTCAGTTCTCAAATAATCAGAAGACTTTATAATAGTCCTCTGTCAGTGCAAAGAATGTTTAAAGATCGGCATGTAAGGAGGGGAGGGGGGAAAACGAAAGCTAGTGCTGTCAAATGGGGCAATTCAGGAAAAAAATCATTTCAAGCTGTAAATATGTTTTATCTCTTTTTACAGTCTTCTTCACGACAATGAGACGAGCCTTTACTGGCAGAAGTCATCTTGTCAAACAAACCTGGAGGCCTTGAAAAAGAAACAAGAGGCCATTCAGTTCAGTCGATTCAAAGACGAGAATCCGCTGGAACAGTGGGTCGTCTGCTCGCTTCCAAATCTTTACTTTGGAAGAGTTGAAACCCTATCATCATGGCATTAGTGTTCTCTTAGTTCAAAAAATGAAAATGAAAACAGTGTACTGCCTTTCTTTTCCTAGATATTCTGAATGAAAACATTTGTACTATGCCGTAACTGAATCTTCTAGACATATGGTGCGATGGCACTTTTTATTGAAATATCCAATAGAAATTTAATAAACTTATGGTAATTTTTTGTTTGAGGTGATGTAGTAGTTATCTGGCCCTGTTGAAGGTAAATTAAAAGGCCTAGCCTCAGATGAATTTGACCGCTCAAAACCAAGGCCATCAATTGCAACACAATGGTAGTTTATGATAGTCGCATGATTCTTCCCAGTCAGTCAAGGTTCGTGGTTTTACTTTCAATAGAAACATCATAGCGATTTACACCATTACGTCATGAACTCTGCGGAAGATTTCAGCGTTAAAGCATTTTTCTTTAAGTGTTTTAATTCCGTCTCTATAGTGAGATCTTAACTTAAAATAGGAGAAGGAGGTAAATAATTTCAGACTGGAAGTGGAAAATGATACACTTGACAATTGACACGCCGCGTGTGTGAGTTGTTAAGCCCGCCATTGTTACCAGTGTAAGGTCCAACTTCTGCGCCTATCAATTTTCTGTGAACGTTATGCCTCTTGCAAAAATCATCAAACAGGTATCTTGAGAAAGGGTCAATGACTAAGAGTAAGAAGCTTTGATATAATCGATACAGCGTTGTCACAGACAGACAGATGTATTTTCCTTTGCGTTTCCCCGGAAGCGAGAATTTCTTTGTCAGTTGCATCACGAACACCATAACTATACTGTAAAAGAAAACTTGAAATAACCAGAAGCATGTCCCTCATGAAGTTTCTTATATTCAGTCACTTTGAACGAAGCACAAACGCAGGTTTCATCTCAGGTGCAGTTGTTCGCTTGAGTCTTTAAACAATGGATAACTGAGAGGAAAAGCTCACTGCTTTCATTTTTCATTTTAAGAGGGCACGGTAACAAATCCTGCAATCTGATTGGTTCTTTATCCGGTCAGTATTTTCCTATCTCTGCCCACGGGCCACATCTACGCTTTCGTGAATCGCCGAGTACATCCCAAATTTCGTTGCCATTTCTCATAAACATACCTCGTTTTTCCGGCTGGGCAGTGTTTTTAACAAAAAACGTCGGTTACTACCTCAATAAAATAACTTATGAATCCTCTCTTTTCTCTCCCTCAAATCACTTTGGTTGACAGAAAAATATGGGTTGCAGAATGAATTTGTTTAGGCAGTAGTTTCATTACGTTGGTTGACAAGCGGCCTAAAAACCATCTGCAATTAATTTTAATCGTTCACAAAAAGTACTTAGAAAGTTAAAACGTGAAGTATTTGGTTACAGTTAAAATGAGCGATGGAACTTTTATTCATTTAATATCTGAATTTTTTCAAACAGTTTGTTCGTAGTGAAAGAGCGAGCGAAGTTTTAAATTCAGTTCTACAACAAATATACGCCCTCGGTAAGTCTTTCCGAGTCTGTTCAATTTGGACATTTGTACCGTAAATTGCACAACAGAAACTGAAGGGATTTATCGAGAAAAGGCCCAATAAATCCCCCCTTGTGTCTCGTTGGAGTGTACCATTCGAATTTAGTTTTTGTGGAGGAAACACCAGATTTACACACGCCATTGCAGCAAACAAACGAGCAAACTCTTACAACTTCCAAATAAAAAAATTTGACTTACTCACAATTACTTTCGTCGCCGTTAACTTAACGAACAGAGGTAAATCTTCGTACATGAATGAATCGTCGATGAGAGTGAATAATACTTTCTGTTAGATCATTGAATGTTTTTGAAGAAAACATTGTCGTGACAGTCCTTGCCAAACTAGTTCCGTTGTGTTTCAAATGTTCTGACGCTTTTTTTTCATACGCGTTCTCTAATTGACAGGTGTCAGATTGTGACAGATACTTGTAAAAATAATGTTTCAATGTTTATTTCGAAGCCTTTTAAATTTCGGTGAGGCATCTCCCTTTAATTTGCATCACCTCTATTTTAATTACCATTTACTCGCTCAAAAATTGTTCAGTTTATGGAAGATCTTGCCGTATTTACAGCCCTAGACCATTCGGGTTCTTTCGGAAAGAATCTCGTCAAGTCTCAAAAAAATAAATATGTTATTTACCGGCTAAGTGTCGGTCCGTATGGCAAAAAACTGTGACTTCGGTCTTGAAAATGCTGCGGCTTGGCATTGTATTGATATTTTTAGGAAAAATAAAATCTGTCTTGGTCACTCACGGGAGTTCAATACAAGTAAACTAAATACTGTAAAAATAGACTGAAGCATTTTAAGTTGACATTTTTTTGTTCGTACAAACCCACTGGGTTGCATCAACAGGTGTATTTAAATACATAAAGTATGTAATAATTGTAAATTGTAGTAAATTCAAACTTTTAAGGTTGCAATGAAAAAATACAACTGTACTGTGAGAGTAATCAATCAAAAGCCCGAAATAATGTTCAGGGAAGTTCTACAGAATGGGGCCTTCAAGTTGATATCATCCCTATTCTTGAGCCTCACGGATGAGTCAGACTTTTCTTTGCAAAGTTTTTTTTTCATTTGTTTTACAATTGTTTACTGAGTCTAGTTTATGAGGTTGGATGCAGGGCAGCAAACATATATATATTTTTCCTTTTCTTTGTAAAAACATACATGTCTATTATTATGTCCCATCTATTTCTAACAACACAGAATGTTATCAGACATTTCTGATATCTTCTTTCTTTTATGCAACTGAGTCTCCATTTCAAGGTTTTCAAGGCATTCTGTGAAGCCTCAGTCAAAATTTTGTTGCACTTTTGTCAATATTAGTCTAATATTGACCAATGATTGACAGTTACTGCAGATTTGCAAACACCTGCTTACCTATTCAC